TGGATGGATGGATGATGGATGGATGGAGGGTGTTTATCTCCCACCTGGTTGGAGGTGCTGATGTCCACTCCTCCTTTCAGATATTCCAGAACCTTCTCGATGTTTCCGGCTCTCGCTGCTCTCAGGAAACTGGTGTTGCTGTCGGACTGGAAGAGAGCAGATGGAGAGGAAGACATTTTATTCCTGTCTCACAGAGAGTTGCTCTAAGCGGACCAGAAGCCAGACTCTAACCAGCTGCTTCACAGAGAAACAGGAACCAAATGTCCTCTGAATGCTAAGCTAGCAGCATTGGCTAGTAAGGTTCACGGGGATTTATGGAACATCCTTTATTTAAAGAACATCTGAATTCAATAATGAGCAAAGTTGATCTACTAACCAGGTTCTAATTTACAATGTTGCATGAATGCATCATGTTTGCCTTCATGAATTGTGATGATTATCAGAATGAGCAAAATACTGGGATACCCATAAATACACAAACTAATTCTCCTCAACATTGAAATCAGTCCTCCAGTCCTTTACGGGATGATTTTGAGCTAATCACATCCAGCTGGCACATTTAGAGAGAGACCAACGGAGAACGATGAGAGAAAGAAGGAAGGAAAGATGAAGCAAGAAAGACCTCCTTCTCCTTCTTCTCTCCATGACTCCTCTGACAGAGTCCTACGAGTCGCACCAACAGAAGGAGAATTAGCTTCACCCCACAGACTATTCATCAAACAGCTAAACTTTAACTGATCCTGTCAAAGAGAGATGCTTCCAAACATTCTGTGTTCTCCTCTGCAATCAGAGTTTTCTCAGTGGCTACTCAGCGGCTACACAGCGGCTACTCAGTGGCTAAACACTGGCTATTCAGCGGCTACACAGTGGCTCCTCAGTGGCTACTCAGCAGCTACACAGCGGCTACACAGTGGCTACTCAGTGGCTAAACAGCGGCTACTCAGTGGCTACTCAGTAGCTAAACAGTGGCTACTCAGTGGCTAAACAGTGGTTACTCAGTGGCTACTCAGTGGCTACTCAGTGGCTACTCAGTGGCTAAACAGTGGCTATTCAGTGGTTACTCAGTGGCTACTCAGCAGCTACTCAGCGGCTACACAGTGGCTAAACAGTGGCTAAACAGTGGCTACTCAGTGGCTACTCAGCAGCTACTCAGCGGCTACACAGCGGCTAAACAGTGGCTAAACAGTGGTTACTCAGTGGCTACTCAGTGGCTACTCAGCGGCTACTCAGCAGCTACTCAGCGGCTAAACAGCGGCTACTCAGCGGCTACTCAGCAGCTACTCAGCGGCTACTCAGTGGTTACTCAGTGGCTACACAGTGGCTAAACAGTGGCTAAACAGTGGTTACTCAGTGGCTACACAGCGGCTAAACAGTGGTTACTCAGTGGCTACTCAGTGGCTACTCAGCGGCTACTCATCAGCTACTCAGCGGCTAAACAGTGGCTACTCAGTGGCTACACAGTGGCTAAACAGTGGCTAAACAGCGGCTACTCAGCGGCTACTCAGCGGCTACACAGCGGCTAAACAGTGGCTACTCAGTGGCTACACAGTGGCTAAACAGTGGCTAAACAGTGGCTACTCAGTGGCTACACAGTGGCTAAACAGTGGCTAAACAGTGGTTACTCAGTGGCTACTCAGTG